GTGAAGCAGCTAGCACAATGCTATGCTTCGCCTCCTTGCCGCTGTATTTTTGGGCCGATGCAATTGCTGCTGCTTGTTATACTCAAAACATATCGTATTTGAACAAGCGATTCTATGTCACTCCCTACAAGATCTTGAACAATCGTGAAACGAATGTGAAATTCTTTCATGTGTTCGATTCAAGATGCTTCGTGTTCAACTCCAGAGAGAATCGAAACAAGTTTGATGCTAAGGCTGATGAAGGAATTTTCTTAGGCTACTTCCTGAACTCCAAGGTGTATAGAGTTCTCAATAAGCGCTCAAAGAAGAGTGAAGAAACATACTATGTCACCTTTGATGATAGTTATGTTAAGAAGATGAAATCAACAAAAGGTGCAACGCAAGAGATCTTTCCAAAGAATGGTCAAGTTACAACCTCTATCTCAAATCTTTTTGAACAATTCTTGCTTTTGTTTGATGAGCCTCAAAAGGCAATTAACTCTGAATCAACGACAAAAGACAACAAAGTTGATAATCCAAAACAAATTATCGACGACGCTGCTCAAAAGATGGCTGATGATCAAACCAAAGAAATCGAAAGGACAGAAGCAAGCGAACCTTCAAGTGACCGTCCTAATGTCCAGGGGGAGGGTCCATCTCTTTATCATGATCAAGGTTCATCGTTCCAGGGGGAGAGCTCATCGTCTTATTCTTCAAACTCTTCTGAGAGTCCAATCAAAGAAGGGAACACCAATCCAGGTACCGAATAGGCGTCATTCTTCGAGGGGGAGAACACTAACATCAATGATGATGACATTCTATCTGAATTAGAAGAAGAAATAAATGCAGAGGTGGATCCCACTTATGATCCAAATTACCCACCTCTGATCAAATGGACCAAAGATCACCCTCAAAATCAAATTATCGGAGAATCTTCAGAAAAGGTGTTAACTCGATCACAAATCAAAACGAAACAAGATGCACTCTTTTCTCAAGTAGAGTTTTGCATGTTCAACTCCTTTGTCTCCAAAGTCGAACCGAAGACCGTTAACTCTGCACTTGATCATTCAGACTGGGTTCAAGCCATGCAAGATGAGTTAAATGAGTTTGAATGAAACACAAGTATGGCGTCTTATTCCAACTCCAAAGGATGCTTCGGTTGTTGGTCTTAAATGGGTATTCAGAAATAAGATGGACAAGGAGGGAAATGTCATACGTAACAAAGCACGACTGGTGGTCAAAGGCTACTGTCAGAAAGAAGGCATCGATTATGAAGAGACCTTCACTCTAGTTGCAAGATTAGAGTGTGTTCATATATTTCTTGCCTATGCAACTCACAAGAACTTTGAAGTCTATCAGATGGACGTCAAACGTGCCTTTCTCAACGAGGAACTTGAAGAGACTGTATATGTTGAGCAACCGCCAGGTTTCGTGAACGAAAAGTATCTAGATCATTGTTATGTCCTTGAAAAAAACGGTATATAGCTTAAAACAAGCTCCCAGAGCATGGTATGAAACTCTGAATCGATTCTTAAAAATGTCTAAATTCAAATAAGGTTCGGTTGACCCAACCTTCTTTCGTAAGAGAGAAGGTAACCACCTTATGATAGTCTCAATTTATGTTGATGACATCATCTTTGGCTCCACGAATTCTAGCTCAACAGCTGAATTCAGGAAGTTGATGGAAACTAAATTTGAGATGAGCTCAATGGGTCCAATTAACTTTTTCCTTGGATTAAATATTAGACAGGGACCCGAAGGCATTTTTATTAATCAAGAGGCATACACCAAGACTCTATTGACTAGGTTTGGTATGATGGGTGACTCTAAAGTTAAAGTGCCAATGGCTTTTGGGACAAAGCTTACGCCCTCACTGGAAAAGCCAGCTGCAGATATGACGCTATACCGTCAAAGGATCGGTTCTTTAATGTATCTCACAGCCAGCAGACCTGACATCAGTCTGTTACTGTGCAAGATTTCAAGCCAACCCACGCGAACCTCATCTGCAAGCCATGAAAAACATCTTTCGCTATCTGAAGCGAACCTCCTCTCTCGGTCTGTGGTATCCAGCCAACTCAGGATTCTTCGTTCAAGCATTCTCAGATGCTGAATTAGGTGGCTATGGTCTAGATTGTAAGAGAACCACTGGAGGATGTCAATTTCTAGATGGAAAATTGGTTAGTTGGCAATCGAAGAAACAAACTTGTGTTTCTCTCTCCACTGTAGAAGTTGAATACATTGCTGCAGCATCATGCACATCTCAAGTGGTTTGGATACAAAGTCAGCTTAGGGATTACAGGCTAAATATGAAGAAAATCCCACTATATTGCGACTCTGAAAGCGCAATTAGGATTTTTCACAACCCAGTGCAACACTCGAAGACCAAGCATATAGCACTGAGGTTTCACTTTATCAAAGATCACGTCGAAGATGGCAACGTAGAAATCCATTTTGTCAGAACAACTGATCAACTGGCTGATATATTCACTAAGGCTTTACCTAAAGCAAGCTTCAATAAGATTCTACAAGGCCTAGGAATGATGGAAGCAGAATCAGTGCCCAAATCTCCTTTACTTCAATAAAGGTTAGAAGCGAAATAGAGCGAACCGAAATGAACCGAACGTTCGGTCTATTTCGAGTTCGGCTCGACCAAGAACCGAAATGAACCGAACGTTCGGTCCATTTCGGGTTCGGTCCTTCTGAACTTATTCGCTTCTTTTTGCTTCCAAGGCATTTTGGTTGTATTCGTCTATACACTCCTTTTAATTCTATTTTATTCATAAAAATCAAAAATATTTTTCTCGTTCGTTCAATTAAATAACTTTCGCAAAATAAAAAAATATATATTTTTTATTTTTTTATTGTATTTTTATTTTTATTTTTAATCTAATACTTTTCTTTGTATGAGTGTAATTCTCAATGGTGGAGCTCAAGCAGGTATATCTATTTTATTTTATCCCATTAGTTAGGTGTCCCTAGAAGTATGCTGCTGTATGTTGACTAAAGCCTTGAAAGATGTTGAGTGAAGCCTTAATAACATGATATATATACAACTCATGTTTTCCCAATTCAGGCTGTACTATTCACTCTAATCATGAGCTACCTTACTCTACTCACATTGCGTTCAGAGTTTTTTTGCTTGGTCACTATTTTTCTTTAGAGCAGAGGTACATTCGCTTCCTATACCATCTCCACTATTTTTCCTCCATTATACTTCGTATCACCAATATAACCCCTGAGACTATCAACATTTACCAGGTTTATGGTTATACAAAATCTGTGTTAATGATCTTAGTCTCATGCCACTATGTACTAAGTGAAACCCACAATTCAGCACCACAAATGAATTGACGGTGAATTCTCATATTCAAGAGCTTATTTGTTACCTAATGAAATCTCTTTTTAATTTTGAGTGATCTTTTTATGAATTTGTCTACAACTAAGGCTTTTCTTCCCTTAAAGATCCTTTTTTTTTGAGATTTCCATACATCCTTTTGTCACTATAAAAGATATCTTACCTACTTGTTCACAGATCATAATGATCTCACAAGTACTTCATTCAGTTTCGGTCTCATGTCGAGTATCGAAATTATGAATTGAAGCGAAAGCCACCCTTTATAACCTTTAAAAGATGCCTTCCAATACTTCTTAACAAGTTATTGATCGTTATTTAATGGGAAACCAAGCAAGCACTTCAATGTATCTCTTGACTTTGAAGGAAGTGATTCATGCCCATAATCCATTATTTTATGTCTATTTAAGGCATCACAGATTATCTCAAAACATTTGCTTTATTTCTTTATCTTTCACACTCTATGCACGAAAATTTTAATTTTCCACACTCTGGTTCTTTTAATGGTGTTCAATAAATCATCATAGGCAACGACGATTCAAATGTTTTAGGAGTGACGATTGGGATAAAGTGGAAGCTGACTCACCGTTTATCTAATTGGTTTGGTGATTTGAAAAAGCGAAATTTATGGAATGGCGTGCCAAAAAGGAAACATCCTTTCTCTTTCCTGCATCATCATCGGTATGCTAACTGTTCATCCGTCAAGTCAGGCGCTATTTTTCAAATAATCCATGATCTCAGCCGGATTTTTCTCTCTCCTCCTTGTACGTATAAAAGGAATTCGAATGGTACTATTTAACCTTTATCACTTCCCAAATTCTCTCAAAGAACAACGACGATCTCTCTTACTGTTCATCATCTTCTTCAAGCTAGTACAATGGCAGACTCTTCGTCCGTTCATGATACTTCCATTCGTCAACCACTTGGCACAATCAAACCCCAACAGAAACTGATCATTGATCTCACTGCGTTTGTCTATGAGCCTTACATGTTATACGTTGTTGAGTGTCTCAAATACTCATCTCTCATCGAAGCGCTGACCAAAGTTGAAGTCGTACCAATGTCATGCCTTTCTCTTGTCTACTCCACTGCCTACTATGACAAGGTTCATGAAAGGATTCACTTCGAAATCCACAATGAGAAGACCTCTATCTCCAAGCACCGCTTCTGTGCCCTAATTGGTCTTTCTCAAGAACAATCTCTGGTAAATCCTGAATCCATCACCACTGGTCAATTGTTTTCTATATTTTATCAGATGGGATATAACGAAACCCTCACGACAATCACAAAGTTCAAGAAGTCCTGCCTTCCTCCTCAATGGAATGGCCTTTTTAGGTTGCTGTTCAAGGGACTTTCTGAGCGAAGCGCTGGCTCAGATGGTGCAAGCAAGTCTTTTATGAATGTGCTATATGGGCTGTACCATGGGATCAACTTGGATTTTGGAACTATCATCTGGCAACAATTGGTACAAAGCTTGGTCTCTTCATCCAGGCACTCTGTGATCTCATGTGGATGATTTTGGTCAATCATCACCAACTGGGCAATGGACCGCCTTCATGTTCCAATCATGGCGGACTCTCTTCTCTCCTCCATTGCTACCTTTCACACAAACAAAATTATTTTCACCGATCCCACCAAGTGCTCATTTATTGGATCTATTCCGGAAGCTATGCTCGCTCCTATCTCTGCATCGAGTAACGTTCTCCAACAATACAGGAAGCATCCATCTTCAGGTCCAAGGGAGCTTACCCCAGCCATGGTTCGCTCTATTGACGAGGCTGACAAACCTCCTAAAAGGGGCAAGAAGCTTGAAACCCACAAAGAGGCACAAGTTTCCAAACCCACCAAAGGGAAAACCCCTAAGAAGCGAAAGTCTGATAAGGCTGTTACATCACCTCCTCAACCGAAGAAGCTGAAGAAGCCCGCTAGGAGGCTAATACTACAATCCTTGAGTGACTCAGATTTAGAGTATGTTCCTCCCCAACATAAGATTGCTCCTCCTTCAGAATCTGAGAGCGAAAGCTCTAATGATGAGGCTTCGGGCCGAGGTGATACTCCGCCTCGCTCCCCTACACCAGAAATTCTAGTTCGCTCTCATCCTCCGTCACCTCCACCTGTAACCGTCCCAGTATCCATACCTCCTATTTTCCTCATCCCCATTACACAACCTTTCACTTCTATACCCATCCCTACTCCTATATTCACAAACACTACCACCACCACTACCACAACAGGTGCTCATTCTACCGCCCCCACTCCACTAGTAACAACCGAACCACCTGTCACAACCGAACCTCCAGCCACAACCAAAACATTATCTCCCACTCAATCTACAGAAACAACCCCTATTCTAGGCGGTGAGGACTTGGAATTTGATTCCACGTATTTCAGTGCTTACCGTGTCCAGAGTGACGATGATGATGATGCGCCTGTTACAAAGCGTCATCTCAAGGCAGTAAACGAAAACCTTGATCAACTGCTCTCATCCTTTTCCTCTGAAGCTCACTCTGAAGATGCTTTAAAGGCCTTGTTCTCATCTGTTGTTAAAGAACACAGTGTATCACTCTCCGCTGCAGCAAAAGCCATTGAAGCCTCTACTTCACAGTGTCAACAAGCCTCACTTGCTGTTGATGCTTCTACTAAGGAGTGCAAGGAAGCGACCGCAAAGTCGATAAACTAGTTTTTGAAGCTCAACTGTTTTTAGATTCCTTATAGGCGGCTGCTAAGAAGAATGCTCAAACCGTCAACGCTTCGGTGGATAACCTTCAACGGTCCCTTCAGTCTGAAAGATCCAACCTTGAAGCTACACACCAAGCGATTGAAGTTGCAAACACGTCTCTACATGCCAATTTTGATGATCGTCTTACCCAACTTGAGGCTAAATTAGCTATAGAGAATCGTATCATGGATGAACTAGACAGGAGAACCTCACGGCTGAAAAAGCAAAGTTACAAGTTGCGTACTGCTACTGCTGAGCTCAATGATCTGAAGTCAGAGAAGGAGGTCATTCGGAGTTCTGTCGTTGATGTTCACTCCATCCTCCTTTATCTCCTTGAAGCGCACGATCTATTCATCACCATTACAAACAGACGACATCTGGCTGATAAACTTAGGCTAGCATTGGATATCCTTAGTTGTATCGAGGGTGTTCCAGTGACTGGTGTCCAACCAAAAGAAGGGGGAGAAAATCAAACTCAACCTCTTCCTGGACCGAAACCATCTACTGAACCGAAGGGTAATGAAGCTTCGGTTAGTAAAAAAGGGAAAAAGAAGAAAAAGGTTGGAGAAGATGACACAAATGATAAGGATGACGTGTATGCTGAGAATCCTAAAAATCCTTTTCAGAAGGTAAATCTCTCTGAAAAAGAGCTAGAAGAAAAACTCAAGAAATAACAGGCTGAGCTTGAGCAAAAGAGAAAGGAGACGGAGCTCCTAGAGAAGAAAAAGTCCATGTTTCCTGTCTGGACTATAGTTTCGCTTCAGAGATGCGCAATCGATGAGCCAAGCATACTTTGACTTGAGCCAATAAAGTCATTTGGGCTCGAGAACTCCATGGACGCACAATTCGACATGCCAATCACACGAAAGGCATTTATCTTCCATTGCTTCAATTCGACTGCTGCTATTCCTTCCCCAGACCCGAAGGTAGATAGGGATCTGCTGGAGTTCTACTTGGAGTTTGCTCAACCCCATTACTTGACCTGGAGTTTGAAGAAGATTACAACATCAAGGTTTTGAAGCCCTACTCAGCGGGGAAGTTTGTTAACGTTCAATTCAAAGTGACTCGAGGCACTGAAGGCTTGGTTCACAACTTCCCCCTTGCTGATCTGCCAAACCTTAATCCCCACGACTGGTTACTCCTCAACAATATTCTACTGTCAAATCTACAGGAGTATTAGCCAATAATTGACCATGTCAAGCGAATGCTTGTGTCCTACATTCACGAGGTAGCGAAGATGGACCAGGAGATTGCTTCTGCCATTCACAAGCGAACCACGATCAAGGCTATGGGCTAAGCAGGCAATGTCAACACTATGGTTAAGGGGAAGATTGATACGAATTACTAAAATGTTATGTTCCTCAAGGGCGAAGGCCAGAAATGTCTGTTCGCTCTCGTTGACAAACACCTCTTCTCAACATTGTGCCTGGAGCATATCTTGGAGATTATTCAGAGGTGTGATCAGAACAGTGCAGCTAACAAGAAGATGTTCACTGATATGCTGAGATGGTATATCCAATTTTGGCAGACACTTCTTGCAATAATCTCTCGGCTGTTCAAAGTAATAAAGACCGTGAAGCCAACACAGAAGAAATAATCTCTCGCCTCATTTGACGCAAAGGGGGAGATTGTTGGGATTGTTAGATTGCATCATGGGCTCGGTCCTTAGCCCAATTTTGATTGCCGGTATTGGGCCTGTCCAACCGTGCCTATTTGTTCTAGGGTTTAGTATATAAGCTGCATGCATGCAGTGTTTGTAGTTAACGCATTCATAATTTTTCTCTTTGAGTTTTGTAAACCCTAGCTCGCCTCTACAGCGGAAGTTCTTCGTCGAGCTCTGCTGAGGCGTGACTTTATTGAATCATAAGCATACATTTGATTCTATTTTGTGTTCATTCATTTACTGTATTTGTCTTGTTTGATTTTCATAATCATACCTGTGAAAGATCTAATCAATCTAGAGTCTAATTCTCATCAATATATATATATATATATATATATATATATATATATATATATATATATATATATATATATATATATATGAAAATGATATAAGTTTTTAAAATTTATAATTAATCTAATTTAGGGTACGCCAACAACTCTCTTTGCTATCGTCCTCTCTTGTCTTCTCTATTTCAATATGTGCTTTAGGGCATGCCATCAACAACCCTTTTACATCTAGATTTCAGATCTATACTCCAATCCGCAGATCTAAATTTCAGATCTATACTCCATTCGCAGTCTCTCTGGATTTTGCATCGATTTAGGGATTTCATGATCGACTTTATGTTTTGGGACTTCATCCTGAAAATCAATGCTGATTAAAGGTTTTAGATTAGGATTTGGTGTTGATTATAGGTTCTAGATTCTGGTTCTAGTATCAAATTTGGGTTTGAGTTTTAAATTTTGGTTATAATATTTATTTTGGGTGCTGACAGGTGGTGATTGGCGAAGGTGCCTACGTTGAAATGAGATGGTTGTTGATGATGATTAGGAGAAAGTTGCCCGAATTGAGAAAGAGGATACGGAATAAAGAGAAAATGAGAGAGAGAGAGAGAGAGAGATGAAAATGATATAAGTTTTTAAAATTTATAGTTAATCTAATTTAATTGATAATATAGAAATAAGTGAAAAAAATATAATAATAATGACAATATAGTCTTTTAAAAATAAACGAGGGACTAATATGATAAATTTAAAAGAAACGAAGGACTAAACATGCTTTTAGGGCAGGTAAATGGAAACCACTAACGGCTAACGACGATGAGACTAACCGTGTAAAGAAATGAAAACTATCATTTTTAATTTTTAAAAATAAAGACTAAAAGTGCTTTTTGGTACGTAAGCAATGGATGATTCATGTACGTAAGTTTCTTATGCATACCATATGAAATTTTGTTTAAAAATAGAATTTTATTAAATATTTTAATCATAGTGATTTAATATATATGACGTGGAGTATATATATATATATATATATATATATATATATATATATATATATATATATATATATATATATATATATATATATATATATATATATATATATATATATATATATATATATATATATATAGGGGATAGATAATATATATTACAGCCTCACCTAACTTAGGTACTAAACCTCTAAAATGTATAGTTTTAACTTGGAAAAAAATACCCGGTTTGGTTTCACCCGGTAAATATACCATCCTCGAGAACATTTCGTTCTTTTTTTTTTTTTTTTTTTATCATTTTACTATCTCTGTTTTCTTTCCTTCATTATCGTTTATTAGTTCACCCAAGTAAACATTACTTTTTTTTTTCATGGTCACGAAGGGAAAATATAATCAATCTTCTTGCTTCCTTATCTAAACCCTAAACCGTAAACATTAAACCCTAAACCCTAAACCTAAACCCTAAACGCTGAACCTAAACCCTAAACGTAAACCATAAACCCTAAATCCTATTGTGTCGATCTTGAATTTACATCTTCAAGTATTAATCGTGAATACGCTAACCGTAATCTTTATATAGTAAAACAATGTATTTTTAAGAGATCTAGTACTTAAGTTTAGGTGGGGCTGTAATTTATACGCCATTTACCATATATATATATATATATATATATATATATATATATATATATATATATATATATATATATATATATATATTCTGAAATTAAAATTAGTCTATTTTCGTAAACCACTCAAGTGCCGATCACTTATTTCAATGTGATACCTTTTGATTTATTTATTTATTTATTTATTTATTTTTATCATAGGGTACCAATAATTTTTTTTCCTATGTTAGAAAAACCCAAATTATCGAATATTTTTTGTTGGTTTGTTGGAATCCAAGTCATCAGGCATACAACTAGTGTCACTTAAACAAATACAAACATATCATGGTGACTGAACTTATTAACCAACGTTTTTATCCATGAGTATATTATGCATACCATGAGTTTCTTATGCATACCGTGAGTTTGTAAGACAGGTGCTTCTCCAAGTGTCAACACTAACCCAAAAGCTTCGAGTTCCTCTCCCTGGCCTACCTCATATGCACATCTAACAAATATTTAGACGTTGGAACCTGTAGTGAGACAAACCTTTTAACATCCTTAAAATCAAATATAAAATATGCCATTTAAAATCTACCCTACAATATATCATTCGGTAAGAATGCCATGCATTAAGAACTTAACCTTATATCTTAATGCCATGTATTATACATTATTAGAAAGAAGGTTTTTCATCACATGCCTATACTAAATGCCCCTAATTGAGAGATAAATATCTGTCATAGAGAGCCATGCTATAAAGAAAAATGATAGACATTTTGTCTGTCATAAATTTACGACATACATTAATGACTTACAATTATGACAGACATACACGACACATATTTTGTACATCATATTTTTGACATAATTTCACGACATACATTTATCTGTCATGATTGTAACTTTTCATAATATATATACTTTTCTAAATTTGTACTAATATTAATCATTAAATTACATATTTAATGTCTCACAATGCAAAATAAAACGTCATACATATACAAAAGACAATTCATTGCACAAACCATAATGTCATACAAAGTGTGTTCCAAATTTATCAAAAAGTAATTATCAAACACATATATTAATGGTAAATAAAAATTGTGACATAGTTATCCTAGTCATCACACACCATATCGAGCTCAACATTCGTGTATTCATTCTTTCCCTTCCCCCAAAACTACGACAAAAATTAATATATTAGTCACAAAAATTCAAACCATTGTATATGAAACTTCAACAACACTTCAAGTCCTTAATCACTTAAATCCTATACTTCATAACATAATGCCCGCATTCTCTGTAACTAAGCTGAATGAACACTATACAATTCCATAATAAATGAGAAGTAATATATATATATATATATATATATATATATATATATATATATATATATATATATATA